GCCATCGGCGACGCGGTGCTGGCAGCGGGCAGCAGTGGAGGTGCTGCCGGCCCAATGGGCCCCAATGAGAACGGCACCATGGTGGGATGGTGGAGCAGGTGAGTGGGCGGTGCCAGGCCAAGGTGGGTGCAAGCAGGCGCCCTGATCGCCCTGACGGTTGCCCCGATCACCCTGCCAGTCGCCCCACAGATCAGCCCTGATTGCCGGCCAGGCCTAGGGACCCTACCCATGCATGAATTTCATGCACTGGGCCTCTAGTATTGAATAAAATATTGTATGCTATTATGCAGCCACTAAGAATAATAGATTCGTCCAGACAACGTTGCTCAATGGTTAGGCATCTATCTATGAACTAGGAGGTCATGGTTTGATTCCTGGTCAGGGAACATGCCCGGGTTGCGGGCTCCATCCCCAGTGGGTGTGGAGGCCGATCAATGAATCTCATCATTGATGTTTCTCTCTCTCCCTTCCTCCCTGAAATCAATAAAAATAAAAAAAAATTTTAAAAAAAGGATTTCAGCCCTACTGGTCTGGCTGTGGTTGAGCATCAACCTATGAACCAGCAGATTATGGTTCAATTCCCAGTCAGGGCACATGCCCAGGTTGCAGGCTTGATCCCCAGTGGAGGGCTTGCAGGAGGTAGCTGAGCAAATGATTCTCTCTTATCATTTATGTTTCTATCTCTTCCTCTCTAAAATCAATAAAAAATGTATTTTTAAAAAAGAATAATAGATTTCAAATACTGACAAGGAAAGTGTAGCGTAATCTCACTTTTATTAAAACACATACTTATAAGACTTATATATACAAAATACTAAAAAAAATTCTTAGTATTTGCTCAGAAAAAGTTATACCAAACTGTGAACAACGAGCAATGGGAACTGAAACTTGTGATTATATAAAGGACTTTTACTTGTTTACATTTATGAAACAAATATATATATATATTACATTTATATTCAACAAAATCAAGAATTTCCATTTTGGGGAAGAAATAAACATTTTGGGTTTAGAAAATGGCTTGCTGAGAAAATAAATTTGACAAGTAACAAGTTGGGTATCCTATCTATGGGTTATTCTCCTTCAAATGCATGGCTTTGTTACTCCTTCCACTTATAATTTAAAAAGCATTTTAAACAAAGAAAAATAAAACATCTTCACCTTAATTTACTCTTTAAATGGTTATAAAAGGGTATAAATTAATTGCAAATGAAAATGCACTAAAAGTGGGACCTAAAGCCTAGACATTTAACACTAGCTAATGGGAGGGTATGAGATGTGAATTTTGCAGAAAGGCTGTTTTCTAAATTATAAAACCCACAGATTCAAATCCAAGTGTGAATCACAAAGACGTGCTCTACAACACTAGAAGGAAGGACTTCGTTCACTCTCATTTAATCTTATAGCCTCATTCTCTGCCCCCCACCCCAATGCAGTTATTTCTTTTGGAGACAAAAAAGAAAAAAAAAGATCCTGTTTTTTGGACAGCTGCACTTTTGATATTCCAATATTCTAGCTAGATTGCTGGAGACTTACAAAGCATGTTTGTTCATAGACTTCTGATTTATTAAGAATATAGTCATGGCTCTGTAATTGAACACTATAAATACTTTAACAAAATAATTTAATCCTAAACACTTAAAAGTGAATTTATAGCACTAATTCCAACAAATCTATTAAGTTGAGGAAAAAATAATTCTAAATGCTGAAGAAAAACACAGCTTGTGTGGACATGGGTTCTTGAGAACAGAGTCACGCCTTACAAGCTACTTGGGTGTTCACAATTGTTACAACACCCTTGTTTGTTTTACCTTCTAATGACAATCTACACAGTAGGAGACAGAAGGGACAAATGATTCCAGCAGAGAACCTGAAGAACAGAACCAACGGAGGAAGGCTCTTGTTGGTAGAAAGTAGACTGAATCTTTGACCACTTAAAGAAATGCAATCTTTTGAAAAAAGAAATCCGCCATTTGGTAGTTTAGCAAGGCTTTCTACTTACCTGTGCAAGGAGGTGGCAAAGAGCTGGCTTTGTTTTAGCAACCTGTGTATTACAACGCACATGCCTTTCACCCCAAGGCAAAGATTAGAAACTGGTCCCCACCCCTGAGCCAAGTCCATCCTGAAGTACAAGTGTTTGGTTATGACCTCACCTACCACACCTGGAGCCCTGTCACAGCATGGACAAGTCCAAACAGTACCTTGTTCCTCCATCCAACATTCTTCATATACTCAAACACAGCCAAGAGAATCAGTTTTAAAAGTGGGGCACCTTCAGAAGGCAACTACTTCCCATTTTTCTGGGCCCCCTTCTATAAAAGGTCTCCTCTCTCCAATTTATTCTGAATTCTGCTTCAGGATTTCTCTTCCTAAAACTCCTCTTGGATATTTTCAATTAGGTCACTGCACTGATAAATCTTTAGATCATTTTCCCTAATAAAATTCAAACTCCATGGTAAAGCATCAAGAGTTCTTACATCAGTGAACTTTTCTACATGAGTCTTTTTTTCTACCATCCTACAATTCTTGAGTGTCTGCTTATTTTTGTTTTTAATGATTTTTAAAAATTGATTTTACAGAGAGAGGAAGGGAGAGGGAGAGAAACATCTATGTGAGAGAAACATTTCCATATGGGACTAAACCCGAGACCCAGGTACACTACTAGTATGGCCTGACCAGGAGTCGAACTGGCAACCTTTCGGTGCACAGTATGACACTCAACCGAGCCACTCCAGGCCCAGCAAGTATCTGCTTGTTTTAATCAGGTGATTTCCTGTACATTTTGATGCTCATTGTCTATGGAAATCCTCCTACCTACGCTTTTAAGGATTAGCTCAAAGGCTCTCTCTTTCCAGGAGTCTTCAAATACCCTCCAAATGAACTTAAACCCATGGCCCTGTGAATTTGAAGCCAGTCCTCCCTAAGTGCTTCTCCCATCACCCTAAAATAACCCAGGTACCTTCCCTCCTCACATGGCCACTTAGTGAATCTCGGAACTAAGAAGTATTTTCTCCCACTAGTGTATAAGCTCCTTAAAGCAGAGTCTATCACTGCCTCAATATGTAATTGAATGAATCAAGAATTAAAAGCCAATTTTTGGAGAAACCAGGGCTTTTGGCAAGGAGGCAGGACAATGGTTGTAAGAGCATGGATGTGGCGATCAGAGCGATCTAAACTTAGATTCACTAGGTTATTTACCAGCTGTGTGTCTTAGGCATTTCCTCTAAAAAAATGAAGTTTACAAAACATACCTAATATGGTGATTGCGTAAATGGGGTAAAGCACAAACATAACATTTCATCTGTGGCATATGCTAAGGAGATAATTGTTAGATATCTCTGTTGTTCAGAGATTCTGCTAATGCAATACTTAAAGGGACATTTAGCCCCGGCTGGTGTGGCTCAGTTGCCAGTTAGGACACATGCCCTGGCTTGATCCCTGGTGGGGGGGTGCGGGAGGCAGCTGATTGATGTTTCTCTCTCCCCTCCTTCCAAAATCAAAACTTTTTTTAAAAAATATATTTTTATTGATTTCATAGAGAAAGAGAGAGGGAGAGAGAGCTAGAAACATCAATGATGAGAATCATTGATCGGCTGCCTCCTGCATGCCCCCTACTGGGGACGGAGCCCACAACCTCGGCATATGCCCTGACTGGGAATCGAACCATGACCTCCTGGTTCACAGGTTGACGCTCAGAGTCACGCCGGCCGGGCAAAACTTTTTTTTTTTAAAGGCACATTTAAACAACCACTTCTGTGATTTAGGGCAGCAGTCACCAACCGGTGGTCCACAGACCACTGGTGGTCCATGAAGTCTGAAAGGTTGGCGACCGCTGTTTTAGGGAACAGGCAAATCTCTGGTTGAAGACTGACCTCTCCATCACCGCTGCTTGGATGTTGACGAGTACTTTAACCTCTATGCCCCTGAAATTTCCTTATGTTACATACATAACGTGGTGACAATATACTTCTCCGATAGAATTACTGAGTAATAAAGATCATAGAAGAGGTTACTTTTATGTACTTCAACTCCTAGAGAAAAAAACCCAAAGTATTTAACATTTTATTCAATTTCTAGCATGTTCTGTGAGGGCCTTGAAAATAAATTTTCCTCTTTCATATATAATTTCCCTTCCCTTTACTGTTAATAGAACAATTGGATGACTGAAGTTCTCAAAATGAAAACTAAAGTCAGAATGGTTCTATTTTGCTCCCTCTGCTGGCCTAAGAGCAGGATAGTACCAGGTGGGGCAAAAGTAGGTTTACAGTGTATGTGAGTTTATTCCTGTATTATTATTTATTAATTATTGGATTATTTTTCATACAAACAACTGTAAACCTACTTTTGCCCCACCCAGTACTACCTGAGACTAATAGTTCAAGATCACTTAAATATTTATTTTCATGAACTTGACTATAAAGATGTAATAGTATTGCACATAAAGACAAAAACCCCCCGCAAAAAACAGATTCAGATCCTGGTGGGGTACCTCAGTTGATTAGAGTGTTGTCCCCATACGCCAAGGTTGCAAGTTTGGTCCCCGGTCAGGGGACACACAAGAAGCAACCAATGACTGTGTAAATAAGTGAAACAACAATTCGATATTTCTCTCTCTAAAATCAATAAATTAAAAAAAAAAGGGGGGGGACACACACCCATTGTTTCAGCTCTTATAGACCTGATAATTAAAAGCAATTTTTTTATGTCTACTTTCTACTTTTAACTATTATTTATCCTGGGGTTCAAGTCCAGAATTTTTTTTTTGGTACAAAGGCTAGCTGCCCTCCATTATTTTCAAAATGATTAAGATTCTGCTCCTTTATATTTAAGGTTGAAAACCACTGAAAACACCCAAATTTTCCAATTTCTTATATTTCCTTTGCTTTTTCTTCCATTTATAGTTCCACTAATTTTTACAACCACATAATTTAGTTCCAAATTTACAGGGTTTTATTTACTAATTTAACTGTGAATCACTTTTTTGTATTCAAAGTCTTAGATTATGTATTTGAAAACTAATTTATTAAACCTTTGTACACAAAGACGATCGATCATACCTGTGTCGCAAGCTTATATGAAGAATGAAGTTATAAAAAAATAAAAGGGTCATTAAAATTGATGTATGTAAATCACTTACAAAAATACCCCAAGTGGGATAAAGCTGCTCATCCCTGATTTTTCTCATTTGGTTGTCGAAGTTGAAATGTGAATTTAAAATGGTTAGAATTTTTTCTTTAAAAAAGTGATCTATTAAACTTATATACAAGATAATTAGAAAAATGTAGAAAGGGAAAACAATGTACAAAAGACGATAAAAACCATCACTCTGCACGGACACTCACAACCCAAAAATAGTATAAGCAAACTACCTCTAAACTCTATACTCACATTCCCCCACGTTCTTAGTAGTGAGAATAAAATACGGTAAACCAGCGAGCCCGATCTTTCCATTCATTAAAACAGGCCTGACTTTAAGCCACAAATAAGCCTCGGACAGATTTTTAAACATGGGAGGGACAAACAGGAAGACGGTTCATCTGCCCACTTAGTACTAGTGACCAGGACACAAAGGTGTAGATCATGAACTAGGTCTTGGTGCTGTGTCAAGCAGTTACTCCGAAGTCTTCTTGTTTTTCTGCTGGTTTCGGGGTGAGTTCTTTAACAAGTTTCTTATCCTGAGGTACATTCCAGTCGATTCTGCCATATTCTCAAATTCGAATGGCATTATTCCAGTTGCGAACTTGCTCATATCAGGGATAGGACTGTGAGTTTTAGTGGCTGTGGAAGGACTGGGGTCCAGGGGCAGGAGCTTCTGGCTGCCTCCGTTCCTGATGTCACAGTTCGAGACCACACTGCCGTCCTCGAGAGGCGCACCTTCAGAGCCTCCCTCGGCAGACTCCTCCTTGTCCTGCCGACAAAGCAATGTCGCGTCGGACTCTGGACTCTCTGGATGTTCAACTTCTGATTTCTCTGCACAAGTGTCCTGTTCCTCGGCCTCAGGCTCATCTGGCACCTGCTTTTCAGATGGTTTTCCCTCTGGGACAGGCTGCTCTAGCTCGTTTGGACAAGGGGAAGAGGCAACCGAATTTCCAGTTAAAGGGGTGTCAACAGGAATGTCAGAATCGCTGTTGACGCTCTCAGCCTGCTCCAGGGCTGCCCATATCCGCCTCTGCTGCTCTTCGAGCTCTTCCAGAGTCAGCGTGTCCTCCTCCGTAGGCGCAGGTGCTGTCCTGGTCTGTGGTGAGTCACTGGGAGTCAGTGGTGGGGTGCCCTTGGGGAGCGGAGGAATGAAGGTGGGCGAAGTTCCCCGTGGTAGTGGAGGAGTGTTAGGGGGCAATGGTGGCTGAAACCGAGTAGCATTCCCACTCGGAGATACATGCAGGGCCTCTGCATCTGCAATAAGAAAGGCAAGACACTTTCATTGTCAGAGCACTTGGCTGTACTAACATGTGTTACTTGAACTTGGGGATAGTCAGAGATTCAATGGCCAAAAATAACTGGCTTGAAGGGGAAAACCCTGTGGATGCTCATACATGACCTTCACCTCATCCTCAAGCCACCTGAAAACAGGGACACCTGCAGGGGAAGCTACAGGACCTTCCAGTGCCAGGAACATTAACCGACCCCTTGGCAAATGTTTTCATGCTGTTACATCATGTTAGAGCTAGACACTATGAACAACAGCATGGAGATACAGAATAATTTCTAGGTTGTCTCCTGTAGCTGAAGATGGAATTCGCTAAAGAATACAGTAGAATGCTTGGCTGGAAATGTAGGCTGGCTGGACTGCTGAGTGTGTGGAAGGCAGGAGGAGACAAAGGTAGGCAGACGAGGCAGAGACAACCCTTGGGCTTATTTCTAATTCTGTGTCTCTAGTCTAGACTATTTGCCTGATCAGTGGGTTCATATAGCTAACTGGTCACTGGTCATCACCAGCTGGCTGTCCCCCACACACAGAGATCCAACCTGTGCAAAACAAAGGATCTTCTTCCAAAATTTGGACTCTTCTCCTATTTGCTATTCTCGCTAATGGCAGCATTAGTAGTATCTGGCTAAAGACTCCAAAACTGAACTCTGCTGATCATCTGAGAGTCCTCCTTTCCTTCTGCCGCACCCAGGTCCTTGGCTCTCCGGGGTCCACCCTTTCCTGAAGATTGTCATAGTCACTACATTATTTCAGGCCATTCCTGTTTGTCACTTCAATAAATTCAATAAAAATTAGAAACAAAACAAAAAAACCACACAACACAGTTGGGAAGAATAACTGGGGAAGCTTGGCTCGGCTCTGCCTACTTCCTTGGACCAAGCTGCCACTGCTGGTCTCTGAGCACTGCCCCATCCGAGGGGCCAGGCCAGTGCAGGACTGCTGGGGCGGGGGGGGGGGGGGGGGGGGGGGGAAGGGAATCTAGGTCTGTCTAACTCAGGAACCCAGCACACCGGCCCATTCATCCCTCAGACCAAATATGTCTTCCAACCCAGCTTTTACCGCTGACAGTGGTGATGCTCGGATCTCCAAGAATAAAATTTACTATTTAGTTGGTGCTCACAAAGAGCTTCTTCTTTCTTACGGAACTCAGGAGCATGCGAATTTGTTCTACCTTCTCAATAAAATCACAAGATGAGGTGAAACCTACCCGAGTCAAGCTCCATGTCCGCGGGGGAACCCGAGCTGTTCCCCTTCTGCTTCTTTGGACTACAAGGGCTGGACCGAGACGAAGACCTCTTGGAGCCAGACCTCACACTCGGCTAACGGAGGAACCAAACCACAGTTACAGCGGGCAGACAAGAAATGAAACTTCATTCATCCCTTCACTTAAACATGACGCAGAAAACCAATCCAGAACCAAGTCCATGTCACTGGCGAATGCAGCTACCTTTTCCTTTTGATTCACCAGGAAACAGCAAGAGCTTTTATACAGAGCAAGCAAGGCAATAAGATGCTAACGCATTACAGAATCCCACAGCCACATGCAATACGTTTCTATAGAAGACTCTGAAAGTCTCTTTACCGCTTGGAAGTTTGAAGTAAGGTAACTGGCAAACACGTCCTTCTGCTGACAGGCCTGCATTGGTATAGAACCAAACATCCTCCATTCCTAACGACGAGAAGAGAAGGAAGGAATAAGCGTGTACCTAGGAAACGCCATGCTTTGAGATTTCTGTTCAAAGGAGGTAAAGTGGAGGTATCAAATTACATTTCTGCTTCATACGTGACTTTTCCTTTTTTGGGGAATTAATGAAAATAATGGTGCATTGAAGGAAAAAAAAACCTCAACTCTGCCTACAGAACAGTCAGGACTGAATACTAAGAGCTACTTGACAAAAATCACTTGGCCCCAAAATGTCCTGCTTACTACAGAAAGAAGTTACAAGCAGTACCAGCAAGGGCTCTTATCCGGCCTGGCTGGCCCAACCCTCTCCCGACTGTTCACTGCTCATTCCTCCTGACACATTCACTTGTGCTGTTTTCTATCTTCTGTTCTTTCCCTTTCAAAACTGATTACTCATCTTTAAGGTCCCACGTTTCTCTCTCATCACCAATAGCACATTCAACAGTGACTGTTACTAAGAATCACTCTGGGCTCTTGTCAAACCTGTAGATTCCAGAGACTGAGTCCATTAAGTCTAAGGGAGGGACTCAGAATGTGCATTTCCTATGAGGCCGCAAGGGGATTCCCATGTGGGCCGGGTCTTGGATCCACTTTCAGAGGCTCTGATGGCTTGTGCCAGGCAATTCAGCCCTTAATTTAGCCCATGCATTTTTTAAATTAAAATACTGCTGCTACCATCACCATCACAAGAGTTAATTGTTGAATTTTGAAACATAAGAGTTGGAAAAAAGTGTAGAAATCATTCTCATATAAGATGAAAAATTTTACTTTGAAAAAAACACCATTTTTTAAGGTATATATAAGATTTCACTTAAGATTCTAGTCAACATAAAGAAAATTTAAAAGTTAAACACATTTACTTCTTTATGTAACAGTAATTGCTAAATAAAGCTAACATTTTGAACAATTTACACAGCTCATAAGAATAAAGAAACAATATACTTACATCTGGAATTCCTTTGGGAGTAGATATATTAAAACCTGGATAGTTTACCAATTTCGAGAGATCGTAAGTGACATTTTGATTGTGTTGTATTTCTCCAGATTCTGTTTCCCCATCAGCAGCATCTATCACAGACCATCAAAAGGGTTAATATTGCTAGATGCCAATATAAATCTCTCTCCAGACCAAAAGCAGACCTGGAGGGTGCTTACCTTCATGGCAAGAGCGTTATTCTGAGAAGGACTTTAATCATAGTATGTCCGAACCACTAGGTCAGAACTGTTCAACAACGTGCATGTGTTACTTTGATAAAATATTTAATATCTGGCAAATCTGGTTCTTCTATGGGTTGCTTAAAAGTCTATTTTGCACCTGGCTGGAGTGGCTCAGTTGGTTGAGTGTCGTCCTGCATACCGAGAGGTTGCTGGCTCAGTTCCCCTCGTCAGGGCACAGGCCTGGGTTTCAGGGTTGATTCCTGGTCTGGTCTGGCCTCTTGATGTTTCTCTCTATTTTTCCCTCCATTTCCTTTCCTCTCTCTCTAATATCAATAAAAAAAAATCCTCAGGTGAGGATTTAAAAAAATAAAAAATAGCCTGGCCGGTGTAGCTCAGCGGCTGAGCGTCGAACCAAGAGGCCACTGGTTCAATTCCTGGTCTGGGCACATGCCCAGGTTGCGGGCTTGATCCCGTGTGGGGCGTGCAAGAGGCAGCTGATCGATGATGTTTCTCCATCATTGATGTTTCTATTTCTCTATCTCTCTCTAATAGTCAATAATATATATTTTTTAAAAATAAAATAAAAATAAAGAGATTTAAGACTCTGAATTATCCATAGCCTTCTGTCCAAAGAATCCCTACCCAAACAAATAAGCTAAAAAAGAAAAGAGTTTGAATATTAGCATGACCTACAGATTTATTAAAAGGACTGTGCTAAATACCTCTTTGGTATTATTTGAGAAGGGGGAGGAGGTGTGATAAATTTTCTAAAAATACTTTTATTTTTAATTGCCTAAGTAATATATAGAAACATTTTCACTTAAAAATATTTAGAGCATTAGAGATAAAACTAAAATCTGTATCCCATCCTTTTTCCTGTCTCAGTTATGGATAAGCACTGTTATGTTTGCTGAATATCGGTTCAGACATTTGCATTTTATAAAAAAAGATTTATTTACTAGCTACCATGTGCCAGGCAGACACTGTGCCACATGCTGGGGATATATTGAATACAATGGATATGGTTTTAGCAATTGTAAACCTTACCATCTAGTTGGGAAAATATATACCATTCAAGTAAAACAGAAATAAATATAAACGGTGACAGGGTCTGAAGGAAGCACACAGGGCACGGTGAGAAAAACTGGAGGACAGTGGGTGAATGAGGTGGTCGGGGAAGGCATCTATGGGGCTAAACCCTAAAATCTAGATGGTTCTTGGTCGAGATCTTTTAAAAATATTTTACATAAATAAGTCCTTAGAGAAAACACAGGATTGTTTCATCCACGTGGATTTCTTTCTTTTCACAACATGAGATCAATGACGTCACAGTAAGTAATCCAGAAACTTGCTTTCCACTTGGCATTGCACAGAGATTTTGCCATGTCAGCTCATACAGGTTTATTCCACTCTAAATATTGTAGGGATTCCACAGCCCAGTTTTCCGGGGTTTATTTAGCCATTCTCCTGTGGGGACTTCATGTTGTTTTTAATTTTTACTATCATGTTCAATGCAAAAATATATACACACCCAAGTCCCCTATGCACAAGTGTGAATAATTTTAGAGTAGATATCTAAGAGAGGAATTCTAGATTATAAGAGGCCATATATATTTTAACTTTTATAGATCTCCTGGCATTGGTGGGTATATCTGTTACCATTACTGAGAAAGGCAAGAACTGAGGGGCACTAGCTGGAGAGTTGGTACTCTGGCCTAGGCAGTCATTGAACAGGTCTAGATAACCATCCGACAATTCTCAGTGAAATTTTAGTTCCTTCTTTGCAAAGCAAAGAAAATGCCATCATGTTATTTTTTGTTGTTGTTAACTCAGCACACACTAAAGAAGACAGACATTCCTATCACGTTTTATTGATTCCTTAATTTTAAAAAAATAGATGACACTGAAGGTGACTTATCTAACCTGATATTACCTTTTCCATCATAGAGCGCAAGCCCTGAATTCTCCAGTTCAGCCTCTTTGAGCCATCCTGGTGGGTATCCTAGCTGGCGCATTCGATATATAAAAGGTGGCAGGCTCTTATCTGTCACACCAAGTGCATCCTGAAGTTCCTCACTAAGTATAAAGAAAAAGGGAAGATGAAATACTTTCTTGTTTGGATGAAAACACACACTATTCCAATGTTTTAAAATAATTCTTACATTACACAGCATGTGGCATGGTGTCTATCAAATATACACAAGGTGTCCCCAAAATACGTATACACACGTCTGTAGATTCTATTACATTTTGAAAATGAAATGTATTTTAATAAACACCACCTTTATAATTATTCAAAGTGTATGTATACATTTTGGGGAGACACCCTGTAGTTAAGATTTCAATGAACGTTTTCAAATGACTTGATGTATATTATCTGCTAGAGAAAACTTACATATAATAATTACCCTAAATACACAATGTCTCAAATACTGGGGAAACAGAAATGGCATTCTATAGGAAACTGACAACAAGTACCTAATAACGCCTGGCTTGAATCTTCCAAACCTTTCTTCGACTTCGTCTGCATGGTACCGCTGCTGAAAGTTCTGATTGTTTGCTTCACCACAGGCATCCAAGTACTCTTTTCTCTTTTCGCTTATTCGAGCAGCATTCCGAGGCTGAATCGTAATGTATTTGAAAAGAATGGTATCAAGCACTTTAGAAATATTTCAGAAATTAAATAAATATAAGCCCTTTGCTTAGGTCAAGCAGATTATTTTAGTTTTTAATGTATAAGGAACAAGTATAAAAGAGGCTGCAAATTTTAGAAAAATAAGCCAGAAAGAGAAGCAGTCACTTTAATGTTTTATTACCTCAGTATTACCATAACATAAAATCAAGTTTTAAAAATGTATTGTCTAAAAATTAACTAATAATCTTCCATTCATTTCAAATACAGAGCACTGTAATCAAGTTTTAAAACAATCTAATGCCTTAGAATTTAAGTAAATTTTTCAAAATCCAAGACCACAGGAAATTAACAGAGGAAGTTTCTTCATATCACACAATGCCATAAATATGTTGAAAACACTAGAAAGCTCTGGTTCAAAGATATTTTTTTTCATGGGAAAAAACTTTACCATTGAGCAATCTTTCATTTGATGTTCTTCGGAACCACAATTGAAACAGTGAGGCCTTGGCCTATTTGGTCAAAAAACAAAGATTTTCACAATGTAAGTGAAACTATATAAGCAAATCGATAAAATCCTAGATGACAGCAAAGTGTACCAGAAATTAGAAAGTGCACTGATCACAGATTACTAAAATCTGCAATGGGTACACTTTCAGCTCCCGTACTTGGTGATTTAAACAACAGCACTTTTAACCAATAACTGGGTGCTCCTGATTGATCTGTTACCTCTGAGTTTTGCCAGTGGTTTGTACCAAAAGCACCGAGGCAAACAGATCATATTCCTTTAGGTCACATGGAAAGGGGCAGATGGTTTTAAGGCAGCAATCACAGTGACAGCAACAATTTAAACCTTTCCACCCACCCAAACACACTAGGCACGAACCAATGAATTCCAATCAACAGAAGATCAATTTAAACATTTAATACAGGTCTCTATATTAAAATTATAGCTTAATCTGTAATTTATTTACAGTAAGCCAGCAATAAAGAATATTAACTTTTCAAGCTAAGGAGTTTATGATTTGTGTTGTTTTTTTTTAAAAAAGCAGAAAACAAAATAAAAACAACTCCCCACACAAACCTTTTGGCCTTTACTTGTATTTCTTGCCCTTCTAGAGAAACAATGTGGCTGAAGACTTGCTGGTACCTTTAGTACATTTTATTAAGGAATGGTTATCATTGTCTGCAAAATTTGGTAAAACTTTTAAAAGGTGAACTTAATGGCAAGATGAATAAAAGATCTTCATTCACTATGTAGGATACTTGGGTATTTCCCATCCTTCGGTAAGCTGAGGGTTTTCATTTAGTAGCGGTTGCCCCAATTTATCAAGGCAAAAATTAGTAAAATACAGGACACTTCCTACAACCTGCAGAAAACAAGTCAAAAAATATTGCTATTGAAGCAGGAAAAAGAAGACATTGAGTAATGTAAGACTATGATTAATTGTTTTAACAATTTATTTTGGATGAAGTTATTAGAAATAATCAACTCCCTCATTAAAGGAGCCAGATTTTGATGTGTAAGTAAAAGCTACATGTTTATATTTCCCTATGCCTCCACGATTATTGAGCATTTTCTCTTTGGATCATTACTATCAGCTGTACCCTCTCCAGACTTAAAAAATAAAAACTTGCCCACAACTCTCACTTTTCCTTCCAATTCCCCATTTCTCTGTTTCCCTTACAACAAGACCCTCAGAAAAGTTGTCTGTATATTGATTCCATTTCCTTTCCTCCCAGTCTTTTCTTTTCCCTCCATTTTTTTAAAAAAAATCTCATACAGAAAAGTTGAAGAAATGGTATAATGAACACTCATGTACCCTCCATCTAGATTTAACAATTTGACATTTTAGTACGCACATCTGTTTTCTCTCATACTCATACTCTCATTTTTCTTTCAGATTTACTTTTTACTGAGCCATGTAAAAAATGTAAGTCACCACCACTATCATCACAGTATAAGCCATTATTTTATCTGGCCTGAGATGAGTACAATAACTTCCTAGTTTCCAGTTTCCGATTTTTATACTTCACCCCTACGTAATTCAGTATGGGCCTTCTAAGAATAAGAACATTCTCTTATAAACCATCTCTCTACATTCTGTAAGGCCAGCCCTTAGTCCCCCTCTATGTGATTCCAGACCCGTGTTATGAAATATAATTTAAATGCTGGTAACCCCCAATGTCGTCTGACTGCTCCTAGACTCCAACCGTGTATATGCCGGTGCCAACTTGACAGCCCTCACTGGCCATGTAAGAGGCTTCTCAAACTCACCTATTTAAAACCGCACTAGAACCCTATCCTCTCTATACCTGCTCCTCCCACCAGCCTTTCCCATCACAGAAAAGGCAGCAACGTTCTTCCAGTTGCCGAGGACAAAAGCTGGAGTCATTACGACTACCCTCATTCTCATATTCTACATCCAGTTCATCAAAATATTTGATCAGTTCTACTTTCAAAGCATCTCCAGGTTAGAAGTCACTTCTTATCGCCATCATCATCATCTTGGTCTAAGCTATTTCATCTCACCTGCGATAAGTGCATTAACTTCTTAACTGGTTTCCAGCTTTCATATGCAACCTACAGACTTCTCCACAGAGAGCCAGTTCTTTTATAAATTCAAATTATATCACATCCCATTTCTACTTAAAATCCTCCAATGGCTTCTCATCTCACTCAGAGTAAAATCTGAAGTCCTCACTGTGGCCTGGAAGGCAATGTAAGGATCTATTCTAGATCAGTGGTTCCCAACCTTCCTAATGCCGCGACCCTTTAATACAGTTCCTCATGTTGTGGTGACCCCCAACCATAAAATTATTTTCGTTGCTATTTCATAACTGTAATTTTGCTACTGTTATGAATCGTAATGTAAATATCTGATATGCAGGATGTATTTAGGCGACCCCTGTGGAAGGGTCGTTCGACCCCCAAAGGGGTCGCGACCCACAGGTTGAGAACCGCTGATCTAGATCATCTGCTGTGCAGTCAGAGGCATGGATGCAAAGCCTGACTTCACCACTTCCTAGCTAAGGGGCTACTGGCAAGTTACTTAGTTCCCAGATCTGTTTCCTCATCTGTAAAATGAAATGAACGACAGTATCCTTCGGAGGAACATCTGCAATGAGCTTAGAATAGACAGTACTGGCTATGTATAGTGGGCAATGTATGCTTACTTCTGCCCCGGGGCTTTCCACTCCCTTCTACTGCCTGGAACTCTCCTCTCTCAAACTGCAGTAAGGCTCACTCCCTCAAATTACTCACGTCTTGGTTTAGAGAGGCTGTCACCAAGTACTCACTATATAAACCAAATACCCCTCAGGTACTAACTCCTCAGCCTGCTTTATTTTCCTTCAGAGCACTGCCTTCCCCACTATAATGTAATTCAAGGAGGGCAAGGACTTTGCCTTTCTTAAAATTTTATTACTATGTCCCTGAAACCTACAACAGTCCATAGTACAAAGGAGCATTTAGTAAATAGTTATTAGTATTTATTAAAGAACAATATTAGCCCAGCCAGCATGGCTCAGTGGTTGAGCCTCTCTAAACCAAGACGTGAGTAATTTGAGGGAGTGAGCCTTACTGCCGTTTGAGAGAGGAGAGTTCCAGGCAGTAGGTCATGGTTCAATTCCCAGTCAGGGCACATACCTAGATTGTGGGCTAGATCCCCAGTAGGGGGCGTGAAAGAGGCAGACGATCAATGATTCTCATCACTGATGTTTCTATCTCTCTCTCCCTCTCTCTGAAATCAATAAAAATATATTCAAAATAAAATAAAGAATCAAATTAACAAATGTGTACAATTCCCATTTTCCAGGCAGGTGCCACTAAATCCCAGAATCTCAGTTTAGAAGAGAAATGAAAAGTGATCTGGTTCAAATTCAGAAATCTTTCTTTAAAGTGCCCGATAGCATCTCAGTCTTTGACTCCAGTACCATGGAATTCGCTTTTTTTAAAAAATGAGACAAACCACTTTGTTTTTCACAGGCCTGATAGAAATTCCTACGTACTAAACGTTGAGTTGAAATGTGCCTTTGTTCTCAATCCAATGACTGGGCCTAGTTCTGTCACGTGGCACAGGATGACCTAAAATGGCACCTTTGCAAATAACAGCCTTCACTGCATTTGCAGAGATGTGACCTCCCTTGTAAATCTTTTCAATGAGATGTGTGGGCTCTTCATCACCCCAGCAGCCCCATGTTTTTAAAGCTGTGGTTGACCAATGGGACACAGTACTTCATAAACATGAAAACTAGTCTTCCTCTCATAGAACCCAGGCTTACATCATCATCTTAAAAAAATTGTAAGTTGCAAAAAAAATCACACCAGTGCATCGCATTGACATTGCTCAATTCCGCACAGGTACTGAAAAGGCCTAAACATAGGTTCGTCCCTGTTAAGCTTCTTCTATTTAAAATGTTTTCAATTTCATATCTGCCATCTGTGATATTAACTATGTACCCCTCTCAGCTTCAACCATTTGTAGGTTCAACAGCATGTTTTCTATACCTTCCTCCAAGTTCTTGAAAATAAACACAGAGAGGTCGGTCAGGATGAATCAAGTCCTCCAGGCAATGTTGACTGTGCCTCCAGGTCACAATAAAATAGTCATTAAAAAGCAAACGATAGTATTTAAAAGTTGAAGTCCACACGGTTGTTTGTAACAAATGTAATGAAAGAATGTGTGACCATTTGATGACATGTGACTATCCACATTATCATTTAAATGCTGCCCAGCTGACACAGGATAGGAAACAGGTTCCTGCAGAATTCCAAAGCTAAAACGTCCAAACTTACACTAAAAGCTTCCTTGTTGTTTTCAATGGCACAGGATTCTTCTACTTTATGGTCCTCTTCTAGCATAACACTGGATGGCTGACACAAAGAAAAACACACATTACAAACGGTAACCAAATTTCAACTTTAAAACTCAAATATTAGCAATTTGGACACACCCACTTTATTTTCTAATACATACACAATGGTATCATTATGGTATATAAAAGTTTGAATTCACTTGGTCATAACTAGGGTGAGTTAAGTTAAGCTAGGTAGGAATGCTCATGAAAGAAATTTCACAAGTAGGAAAATTAAAAAAGATATACAAACTGTCTTCTGAAGCATTAGCACATACTATGACTTTCGTGTTAATAAATTTATGGAACTTTCAACATTTGAACTGATAAGGCAGACTTTCGTTTCTCTTGAAATCAGATAACCAGAAAGATTAAAATATGTAAATTTATATTACTAGTCAATTCTACTATCATCTTCACTGACCTCAAGCCACCAAAATATTCTCAAGTGTACCTTGAATCAAAACGTTAATATTATTTAGTGTTTTCTTATTGTTAACTGTATTTCCCATTTCTTGAATCTTCAAAAATTGTATATAGCCCGGCTGGTGTGGTTCGGTGGTTGAGTGAACCAGGAGGTCACGGTTCAATTCCCGGTTAGGGCACATGCCTGAGTTGTGGGCTTGATCCCCAGTAGCGGGGGTGAAGGAGGCAGCTGATCAATAATTCTCTTATCATTGATGTTTCTATCTCGCTCTCCTTCTCCGTTCTTCTCTGAAATCAATAAAAATATATATTTAAAAAATTGTATCTAGGTGAAAACTAAAGGTGATTTTAAATTTAATTAATCAGAATACTGTTCTCTAACTTCAGATAGACAGCTCAAGATCCTTATCTGAGAGACTCACCTTAATTTCTAATTTTAAAAAGGCCCCGCAAACATAATTCTGATCTTTTAAACATAAATTCATGCTCTAATATTCACAGAGTAAAATGTCTCCAATTTATTTGGGCATGCTATTTATTTATTTAACGTGTGTGTGTGTGTGTGGGGGGGAAGGACGGCACATGTTGGCTTTAGGAAAAAAGAATCCATATTCTATAAACTTAAGAAATACAGATTTTGGAGGAGCCTAAAATTAGTTTTCTACACAAATCCCCATGTCCAAGTTAGAAAATGAAAGAAAAGCCTTCAACTTTTCATACAGTCAGGTCTGAATCTGACTCCCATGAGAAAAGGAGCCACGATCCAAAAGAAAGCCCATGGCTGCTGGGCGGAGCACAGAGAAAGAAGCCAAGTGAAAGACTGGAGGGGAACAGACCATCTTCATCATTTTGGCTTTGATTTAAGAGGATCCTGGTAGCCTAATAATTATCAGTGAAAAGCATAATCTACTAATCTTAAAGTCTCTTAAGTTTGAAATACCTGGGGCAAAAGATTAAAGGAAGTCTTTTCCACATCATTTTTCTGCTGTTCCTCAAATCTTTTTACTAAATTTGATACAAATTCCTCTATTTCTTGATGATATTGCCTGCAGGAGAGCACAAAATGGTCAGAACTCAGACAGAGTAAAACAAGGAACAGACTGAAGTCAAGATTATGCCACGTGTCATTTTTGTTACTTTGTTTCAGGTTTATCAAATCATTAACTCTGTAACACTCAGGATCTATAGTTGGTGCCAAGTTCACAAAACAATTATGATAACCCAACATAGTGCTTGGCTCATCTGCGCTAAGAATAAATGGACTTTTAAATAAGTTTCATGGATTTAACTTCTAAATACATAATACACGCAAGTAGTTCCATATCCAAAAGAAGTGAAAGGGTTACACGATGAAAAGCTCCCACCCTGTGTGTTAGCCACCTATTTCTGCCACACAAAGGCAACCTATGCGTTCGGTTCTTCCGCATCCTCCTCCCAGAGACTCTCTATGCACAATAAGGAAATACAATGCATAAATATTAAACTTGAAAAAGAAAACAAAAATGCAATGCCAGCAAAACTACTGAGGTCTACTTCCTCCAGCTTTCCAGCTCAAGAACCACATTCATAAAACTTCTTCAGTCTCATGCGGGAGGTCCCGAAGGAGCCCAGCTTAGGCTGCAGTTGGGCAGCCAACTTCCTCTTCTGATTGGAGGATCTGTTAAGTCTCTTTAGCTCTGACATTCTAAGATTTTTGCAGGTGGGGTGCGCAAGTTAGACTGCCGCAAGCTAGAGTAGATGCTGATTCTAATCAGAAGGGGACAATGGTGTTAGAGCCCAACTGTGCCGGGCATCTGGCTGCTGCTACACTCACCATCCAGCTTCCCCTCCCCTCAGACCCTCAGGTTCCTCTTCTGCTGAGACAAAGAAGGTAATGGACCTGCCCCACGGGGACCACTCTATGTATGGTTCCCTTTTCCTTCTTCACTTTACCCAGCACATAAGAGAACGTGATTAAGTGACATGGGAGGGGGCAAGCAACTGTCTGAAATGTCTAGAACCAATCTTTGAGGAAGGGCCTCAAACCATTTCAGAGCACTAGCAAGCACTGCAGGAATGCAGTCATACTAGACTCAAGCATGCTGAAAGACTTTCAAAGGTCTAGTTTTGATATTAAAAATTCAAAGGTCTAGTTTTGATATTAAAAAATATATCATGCCTGGTCGGTGTGGTTCAAGAGCTGAGCATCGATCTATGAACCAGCCAATCAGTGATTCTCTCTCATCATTGATGTTTCTTCTCTCTCCTTTCCCTTCTGAAATCAATAAAAATATATTAAACAAATATATATATAATGTGGGGAAGCTTTGAAGATAGCCAACAGGGAAGACTGTTACCTGACGTGGCAAGATAAATGGCTAACATTATTGTTGCAGTGGTACTGTTTTTTTTAATTAGGCAGTGGTTCTCAACCTTCCTAATGCGGCGACCCTTTAATACAGTTCCGAATGTTGTGGTGACTCCCAATCATAAAATTATTTTCGTTGCTACTTCATAACTGTAATTTTGCTACTGTTATGAATTGTACAGTGAGGCCTTGACTTACGAGTTTAATTCGTTCCATGACGAAGCTCGTAACTCAAATTACTCGTATGTCAAATCATAAAGTGAACGAGTGAGACACGTGATGCTGGGCTGATGTTGTGGTGTTCATTGTGATGTTCACTGCGCCAACTAGCGGTGGGGTATCTGAAGCTGGCTCGTAACCCGAATTTTAGCTCGCAACTCAAAGCAACAAATCGGCCGAGAGACGGCTCGTATCTCGAAAAACTCGTTAGTCGGAACACTCGTAAGTCAAGGCCCCACTGTAATGTAAATATCTGATATGCAGGATGTATTTTCATTGTTTGCGACCCACAGGTTGAAAACCGCTGAATTAGAGGCTATTGGATTCTTACAGGTGATCACTTAGCTACCTAGGAGGTGGTCACTATTAATATCATGTTTTCCAGTGAGGAAACTGGTATGCAGAGAGGGTCAGTGATCTGCCCAGGTTCAGATATGCAGAAAGAAAGAAACCAAATTCAAGTTTACATGATTCTAATGTCCTTGCTCTTCATCAGGATTCCATAAATTTTAAGTAAAAGAATAAGGATGGGAGAAGTACAAATGAAAACAGCATTCTTATAGAAGACATTGTTTCATAAGCACATGAATTCATTATATTTAGAAATGGGAAAATGACTTACTTTGAAATAACATTGTTCATAAATAGAATCTGTAACAAGGGTCCATCTAACTTAGTGTTTTTCACCAATATTCCACTAAAACAGAAGTTAAAACATATTCTTAGAAGAGTTAAAGCAAAACTTGCATACATACATATAAACACATGACCTATATAAGTACCAAAGATAATAGTTTCCGTATAAGACCAGGAACACAGTTTTCTCAGGAAAAATCTGTTTCACCACTTTACCTACTTTAACGGTTTTCCACAGAGGTATCCCTTACATAACATGTCTTTAAAATATATCACAAAAAATTAAAAACCAGTTAACCTTTCAGTTTTCAAAGACAAAGTTTCTTTACCTGATGGCTGTTTCTTTGTAAATTAGGGAGGGAGAGGGAACGGAAGGAATGGGTAAACCAGCAGGTTACAAGAATATATTTCTAAAAGAATCAGAGTGAATTTGCCTTAGAACTATATAGGAAAAATACACACTTTATAAATAAATGAATAGGTTATTTTCGGAGGGCAGAGCACATTGCACTAAATATCTCAAATCCAAGATTCTAAAGTCAAGATGGAAAAAGCATACTGTTCTGGATTTCACTTTCAAATACTGCAAAACAAAGCAAAAAAAAAAAAAAGCAACCTGGAAAACTGCAATATACCCCGTCGGGAACCTGGGACCAGTTGAGTCTCTGATTCCTTCTCACCTGCTTCATATTTCTATATGAAATACATCAGTCTGTATTTGGAATTGTTCTCATCAAGTAGAGAAATAAATTTAAAATATAAAGTTGTTTCAACTTGAGCAAACTTCAGTTTATAAAAGATACATCCTGTGTGTAAAACCCCATGTAACTGCATGGTCTTTGGTTGGAGCCCAGCTTGAACAATCAGCTATAAAGACGTCCAGTTGAGGAAATGTGAGTAGGTACTGGGCTGGGAATGTTATCAAGGAAATCATGACAATTACGAGGTGTGATAATGGTGGTGTGGTTATGCTTGAAAAAGTATTTTTTTTTAAAAAAAGATACATGCTAAAATATTTGGGGTGAAATGTGCGCATGGGATTAGAAAAAAATATGGCAAAATAGTCACTGGGAATGTAAGTGATCAAAATGGGTATTGATTCTTCTTTTCATGTTCTTTGAAATGTCTCATAATATAAAGTAAAAACCAAACAAACGAAATGTTAATTGGATAAATAGAGAAACTTCTGATCCAAACCAAGAGACTTGGGGTACAAATTTCCCCTAAATAATTTTATTTCTTTTTCTTCCTTGGTTTTCTGTAGAATGCTTTATCAGACACTATGGAGGGCACTAATTCTAAAAATAAATTCATTTTTCATTTTAATGTTTACTTTTTATAAATTGGCATAACCCATGACACGTAGTCATTTGAACACAGGTGATTATAATCCACTTTAAAATGCTTAATGTTTAAATAATCAACTCTATTGGAAAACGTGCTTATCTAAAGTATATTTTAATATATAAAAATTACGATTTTTAAGGAATCGTAGTTATAGTCAATAGTTAATAACTAACCAAAAATTAGTTTAAATCCATAAAATGTGCTCACATAGACGAATAAAAGTAGGGCACAGGGAAGTTATTCTGAAAGGCATCAAAATTCTAAAATTTTAAACTTCTAGTCACCAGGGAAGCCAGTTAGTTACTCCAGCAGGTACCACGCATCAGGCAGCCCAAAATTCTGAAAGCTTGAAAATATTTGTACTTTAACTAATATTTTAGATTAATACTGTAATTTTAATTCTGATTTCCCAGAAACATTTGTTGACTAACCAGCTGGGTTGACAATGTGCCTGTTCTGATCATTAAGTGAAAATTTTCTGGATTGTTCCATAAATATTTTCGCCCAGTAAGTCAGTTTAATGCAATTATGAGAATTTCAAGTGTTACAACCCATAAGTTAAAAAAAAAAAAGGATCATTACTCTGATTTGAGTAGTCTGAACATATAAAAATGATACAAAAATCCTAAACACCCTTTTTATAAAGAAACTATGATTAGCCCTAACCGGTTTGGCTCAGTGGATAGAGCGTCAGCCTGCGGATTGAAGGGTCCCAGGTTCAATTCCGGTCAAGGGCATGTACCTTGGTTGCGGGCACATCCCCAGTAGGGGGTGTGCAGGAGGCAGCTGATCGATGTTTCTCTCTCATCGATGTTTCTAACTCTCTATCCCTCCCCCTTCCTCTCTGTAAAAAAATCAATAAAATATATTTAAAAAAAAAAGAAACTATGATTAGACATTAACATCAGGATTAAAAAGAAAAAAGGACTACTATGGTGTAATTTCAAGATCTCATACCTTGGTCGAGTCAGAATGTTCAATTTTCTTTTAAGTTCTTGATGTTATTACGTGTTAAGGAGTATAAGCCCTCGTTAAACATTCATAAAGGTCATAAAATTCAACTACTAACTCTCACTTTTGGTGACAGAATGTTATACGGTTAAAAGACACGCCACTACTTTGAAGATGACACGGTTACTGAGTTTCTTTAGATTAATACGGTAATTAATACTGTAATTTTGTTGCAGGGTTAGGCATTTGGACCTAAAAATTCAAGTAGTTTTCATTCCGTCCAACACAGACATTGCAAAGGCACCATGCCCTGTAGCTGAGAGGAGACTAACAGGCTGGACCAAAAACGTTATTCAAACAGCAGTGTCCCCTCCACAGCTAAACACTCACTCACTTAGGAAAATGTTCCAAGGCAAAAGCATCCTGATAAGCGGAAAAAGTAAATGCGGCACAACAAACTGGTAACGACTTTTGTATTTTGAAATTTTTCATAGTAACATATTGAAGAAAAAGGCATCATGAAAAAAAAATCGGACTTCGAAACCTTAACAGATAATTTACCAACCGCTTTTAGGGATCTTTAAAATTCTAAAAGGAAAAAAACCCCCACCCGAACCAAAATTTTATATGTATATACATATATATGTATATATAGATGTATACCAGTACAGTTTCTTAAAAAATCCCTAAGACCGTAAATAAACACACTAACAAGTCTTGCTAGAAAGGCTGTCATCATGGTAAATAAAGCCAAATGGAAACATTTGGCGCCTTTTCCCTACAGGTTTGCAACGCACCTTCACTTCGGAAGCGATTTCAAAGTGGAAGAACTTGAACATGAATCCCAATCTCACTCAGGCCATTAACCATGTCGCTTTGCACCCCTCGACTCCTCAAGGCCCCCAAACTCTACATCTTGGGACCACTAGCTCTGCACAGGCACACACACAAATAAGTAAAAAATACATGAGGTCTACGCCCAAGTCTCACTACCCGATATCCCCCAATACACAACGGTAACAGGACCGCAGTAACTAACCGGGCTGCAAAGAAAATGAAAGCGGGCGACTCCAGGAAGTCTACCATCGAGCAGTGGCGAGAGTCTGAAATGACCCAAAAAACCGGCCCCGGACCGGGTGACGGGAGAAGCGAGTCCGGATGCGGGTCGCCGGGAGGTCGGCGCCGAGGCCCCGGGGCAGCTTACGCAACCCGAACCCCCGCTTCCCAGCCCGCCGGAGGGGGCGAGACAAATTTACACCGGGTTCCGGCCCCGTGGAATCTCCGCCCGCGCCCCGAGGGGCGCGGCCCCCACCCCACGCCCGGGCGCCGGGCCCAGCGGGCGGGAAGGATATTCTCGGCGCGGAGCCGCTCGATCGTCTCCTCGCTCTGCCGGAGCCGCTCCCGCGGCCCCGCGTCGCCAACCCCGTTCTCGTCCTCCTCGTCGCCGTCGCCGTCCTTGAAGCGCGTGTGAACGGGCTTTGGGAGCGACTCCTCTGGGTGGTCAAACGCCTCGAACAGCTCCAAATCCCCAAAATCCACCTCTGCCGCCATTTTGGGCTGTGGGAGAGATTCGAGAAGAGGAGCTGGACACCCGGGCCGGGGTCAAAGGTCGTAGGGCGGCACCTCTCTCGAGGGCGCTAAGCCACCCAGTAGGGTTTTCTTTAAACGCAGGCCCCGGAAGCGGCACAAGGGGCGGGCCAATCCCGAGAGACTGCAACTACCAAAATGCAATGGCGTCCCTCATACCCACTTCCGAGGTTGCTGGAGAGCATGGCATGCTGGGACATGTAGTTTCTGACTGACTGTTAACTCATTGTTTGCATTGCATACTGGGATTGCTCCTTATTAAAGGTTAACAAAGCTAGAGTAAATCAGAATGTGTTGAAACAATATGGGTTGTCCTTGTTATGCATCTAAGGCTGAAAAGTCGGAACACATTCTGGTGTGCATGCCAAACAATGGAATTTTAGTTTTGCCACGGACTACCTTTGTAATCTTGGATAGTTATTTCAGTTTATTGGGCTTGTTTTACTTTTTCATGAAGAACTAGCTAGAATAGTCCTGGCCAGGTGGTTAAGTCGGTTGGAGCCTAGTTCATACCTAAGTTGTGGGGTCTATCCCTGGTCAGGGTGTAGATGGGAAGCAACCGATCGATATTTCTCACATCAATGTCTTTCTCTTTGTCTCCCTTCCTCTCTAAAATCAAATTTATCCTCAGGTGAGGATAAAATAAACTAGCTAAACTATTTTAGATGTCTTGTGCTCAAAAACGGGGATCACATACTAAACCTGACAAGCTCAGGGGAGGCTTGGGAGACCTAAACTACATAGAATGATCTGAAATTAAAACTTTAAAAAAAAAGACCCAGGGATTGAGGATATTTTTCCCCATTGATTTTTAGAGTGGAAGGGATGCAGAAATGGGGGTGGGGGTGGGGAGTGAGGGAAAGAGAGAAACATCAATGTGTTAGACATCCATTGATTGCTTCCCAATGCACCCAGACCAGGGCTGGAGATTGAATCAGCAACCGAGATATGTGCCCTTGTCGGGGAAACTTAACCCATGAACCTTCCACTGAGCCAAACCAGCCAGGGCTGAAATTAAAACTTCCTAAAGGGAATTTACGGCATGTAGTCATGTCCTGGGCTGGTATCATTTCTTGACAAAGGTCAATCTTTACCTTAACAGTGCCTTTTTTTTGGATAATGTACCTTTGGAATGTCGGTAATTTTTTCCCAAATCCCTCAGGGCACCATCTCCCAGGAGACCACAGAGCTCATTGTTATTGTTGTTAATTATCCTATACCCACTTAAGTAAAAGATGTCTCAATTCAAGACCTATAGTCAAGGCATATATAAGCAGCAACCAATGAATGCATAAATACATGGAACAACAAATCAATGTTTCTCTTTCTGCTCTCTACAATCAGTAAGTTTTATCCCAGCTGGTGTGGCTCAGCAGTTGAGCATCAACCCATGAACCAAGAGCTTGCAGGTTGGATTCCCAATTAGGACATGGGTCAGGGCACATGCTGGGTTTCTGGCTCGTTCCCAGTACGGGGCAGCCAATCACTGTTCATCCCATCCATCTTTCTCTCTATCCCTCTCTCTTCCTCTAAAATAAAAAACTTTTAGAATTGCATTTAAGTATATAAATCTTTTGGCCTATGAAACTCTTGATTAACCAGGAATGATATATAAAACGACTTATTTCCATCTCTTCCCAACTACTTCTTAAATGGTATTTAAGTTTTCTAAACTTAAAATTCACCCAATAAAACCTCATCTTAATTTGCCGTTTTCCTCAACACCTATACACAGCTATGAAATTCTACCCTACCTTCCAAGTTAGCCTCAAACCCACTTGCTCCCACACTCATCATACACTGCGCCTCAGTGTGGTTTAGTTTTACTGCCCCTCAAGTATCTCCTGGACAGCAACCCTATCCTGTTGCTTACAAGGGTAAAGCCATCATGGAGCACAGACCTTGAAATGTAAAGCACAGTAACATACAGGAAAGAAGGGGTAGCAAAAGGTTTAATAAAATCAAATCTATCGAGTATGCCTCCCATATACACTTATTTCCAATTGTGTGAAGCAGTTAACTGGCCTCCCAACCCTGGACTCCAACAATTGCTTCTTAAAATTTAATTATACAAGTTACAATTACTAATCTACCTCCCTCTAGATGCAATTGGATATGGTTGCCCATGGCTACATATGGCTGGTCCCAATTAGGATGTTAAAACAAAATACACACTGGATTTACAACACTTAAGTATGAAAATATGTAAAATCTTAACTAAAAATACTGATTACCTACTGAATTATTTTAGATGTTGTAATAGTTTTATTTGTTTAAACTTGGCTACTAATTTTTAAAACGGTGCACTAAATGAGTGCAAGATGGACCATGTCATTCTTTAAATGGCAAGCTCCTAAAATACTGTAGAGCAGTGGTTGCCAACCTTTTGGACCTCATGGACCACCGGTTGGCGACCACTGCTGTAGAGAAATACAGGAAGCAGTCAGTTACTGTGTGCTTTTATATCCACTATGCCTTAAAGCTTATGAAAATTTTTAATGAAATTAGAGGTATACATAAAACTGAAAAATGTTCATCTGTGATGCCAAAATAAAAAATCATTATCATTGATTTTGTCACTGAAGCATGAAACCATTTCTCCACAGAACTGTTATACTCTGGGAAAACTAATTTAAAAATTTACCAAAATCCATTAAAAATCTTATAATACAACCACTTGATTTTCCTGTATCACAAAAACATGCCCAACAAGCAAGTTGATCAGACTTAGTAACTCTGGTTTTTAAACATAAAGGTTGTCCCTAGCTGGTCTTGCTCAGTGGATAGAGCGTCAGCCTGTAGACCCGGGTTCAATTCTGGTCAAGGACACAGGCCTGGGTTGTAGCTTGATCCCCAGTAGAGGGCGTGCAGGAGGCAGCCAATCAATGATTCTCATCATTGATATCTCTCTCTCCCTTCCTCTCTGAAATCAATAAAAATATATTTTAGAAAATAATAAAGGTTTAAATTTTACCACTATTCACAGTATTGTGCTACTACATTGTGGCAATCTTTCCCAAAGGATTTTTCTAGGGAAAGCTAATGAATTACAAGTTCTGTAGTCCCCTCCCATCACCAAATTTTTAGTACTTTACTTTCTAATGGATAATGAGCAAAGGGAATACAAAGAACTTGTTATAAGGCACTTTATTAAAATAAAAGTGCTTACATCCCTTTAAAGTATTAATCTATTTCCTGAATAACATACGGAATATTTAACAAATACTGTACACCAATTCTGGCCCTTATAATAGTAGGAAAACAGTAGTATTTTAATAAGTTTACTTGCTCCCAACTTCCTTTTACATTTTTGCTCACTATGGTACTGCCAAAAAAATTTTTAAAAAGAAGAATTTTTAGCCAGTGTTTTCTAATAGAAATTGCAAAATGCTCCAGAAACCATAAAATAAATTCAAATAATTCCAGGTAACTGAAATTACCACCAGTTTTGAGAAAACCATTTTTATTTTCATCACCACCCAGCTTATTTGTGCTGGTATGTACCAAATGGCCAGATCTTCTAAAGAACATCTACATAACATTTCTTTCATGTTTCAAGAGATGAAAATAACTGTACAAGGTTAAGTACAAAAGTACACAAGACAGCGGACACGAAAAAATCCATGTATGAGATTTTTATCCCACCTGCAGCTTTTATATATATTTTGAAAGTAGAATTCATGAACTAAAAAATATTGTCCTTCTATAGTCCTGTCAAGTTTAATGGAAGTGGGTTTAACCTAATTACAACACTAACACCAGTATCACTGATCTGATATTTACAAAAAAATCGTTATTTTTCAATAAATTAAAGTCAATGCAACACCCATGCAAGCTAGAATACTAGCTGTTTGGTGAACAAGGACCTGACATCAGAACCAGAAGTTTAGAAAGTTCCAAACATTAAGCGATCTTTTTCAAACTGCATCCATTCCTCGCATTGATGATGTAAAACCCAATCCCATTCCTCTTTGTGTATGGGTCTGTGACCTTGCCATTTCATACTGAGCATCTAGATTCCTAAATACTTCTTCCTGTTGCTTCAAAGTCTTGTAACTTTCTTCATCAACTGAGCTACATCCAGCTTCATCTTCACTCTAAACAGACAGAAAAGTATTATTAAAATGAATTTAATAGGAATAAAAAGTGCTTCTCTCACTTGACAATACAGGTAAATTACATTTTTGGGATACATATTTGACTTCAATTACTTAGCTTCATTCATTCATTCATTCAGCACATGTGTTCCTTCTAGGATGTAACAAAAATCAACTTTAAGCCCTAACCAGTTTGGCTCAGTGGATAGAGCGTCAGCCTGTGGACTGAAAGGTCCCAGGTTCAATTCCGGTCCAGGGCATGTACCTTGGTTGCGGGCACATCCACAGTAGGAGGTGTGCAGGAGACAGCTGATCGATGTTTCTCTCTCATCGATGTTTCTAACTCTCTATCCCTCTCCCTTCCTCTCTGTAAAAAATCAATAAAATATATATATTTAAAAAAAAAAATCAACTTTAAGTGGATGGGCATGATGAAGAACGGGCAGCACATGCCAGACAGTGTAAATAGCCAGCTCAGTGCAGCTTAATATCCCTTTAATGAAAAACTAATTTCCTTAATAATGACCAATGTCTGAGCATTGAGGAACTTTCCATGAAATCTAACACTGTACCTGTATTACCCTTTACTCAGCAAAAACTCAATGTTCTAAAAAAAAAAAAAAGCTTCTTTAAAACTTTCAATATCAAAAGGGTCCTATTCCACCAGGTAGCATTAACCTTAAATTGAGAAGTGTTTATTCTTTTAAAGCAAATCCATTATTCCTTTTCATAAACAGAAGCTTATGAACTCAATGTTCACCTAAGGTACAAATACACAGTAATAATCAATAAACCTGTTAATTTAAAATAATTTGTGTTGTAAACCAGTGATAACAATATTTTAGTTAATTCTGTAAAATTAATGTGGAGAACATAAAAAACAAGAAAAGTACCCAGAGTTGATACATCACTGAAATAACTTTGAAGTTGAGAATCAATGTTACCCTGAAAATATGTTAGTATGATTTTAATAGAAAGTATATAT